AGGCGCACAGAACGCTGTGACCTTCCCACTGAAGTGGTACCTATTTATCTACTTGCAATTTCTTGCTTTCGAACTGCTAGGTTGGCAGGAGCTGGAACTAGAGATGGGAGCTCACTCCGCCATGCGGCAACTCGGGTCTCGAACTGCTGAACTACCGACCTTCCACAGCCTGCAGTTCAGCGTCTTAATCACTTGAGCCACCACAGCTCCAAGAGCTTCACAGTCCTCTTTAATTTTTGTGATGGTAGTCGCAGCGGTGTCATTCGTCCCCACATGAACCAGCACAAACGGGTACTGATCAGTAGGTTTTATCAGTTTTGGCAGCTTGTCTATAATATCATGAATTCTGGCCCCAGGTAAGTAACACATCTCTCGGAGTAGGGGAGCCGGCATGGATACATTACGTTCCATACCCCTGAGCAGGGAGTCCCCGACGACCACCACTTTCCGTTTCCGTGCGGCATCATGCCCTCTTCACTCCCTTTTCCAGGTCTTTGTGGCTCTCCTTCCACTCTCGTCTCCGTCACCCTCTCAAGCACCTCAAAACGATTCTTGAGCTCCAGTGGACCTGAGCGTCTTCTTAGTCGATGTCTTCGGGTTTGTACTGTAGAACTGAGAGGAGGCTCAGAAGGGAGATCGACTCTTCCTTCTTCTCTTTGTCTTTCTTCTTCATGTTCTTGCAGAGTTCCCGGGCTCCTGTCAATAAAGTCCTCCCCTTCCTTGATTTCCTGAAGGGTGGTGATCCTCTCCTGCAGGCTCTAAATGTTCTCTTCCAAAAGCCTGACCAGCTTACACTTCTGACAAGTGAAGTCCGTCTTCTCTTCCGGGAGGGAAAAAAAAACACGACACACTCCATGCAGGTGACTGGAAAGGGGCCTTTAGTTGCCATCGTTGCCATCCAAGTATAGCCCAAGAGTGCTCTGAGCAGAGTTTCTGGGCCCTCAGGCAGATCCTCAGGCTAAGAGCCACAGGCCAAGAGCCCTTTAGCTCTTGCCATTCGGCTTGTGCCTCTGGCGAGGAGGAGCCTTTTGTC